ATGTAGAGACTAACAAATCTCATAGAGAATTAAATTATCGATGCATCTATTAACTTAATTATAAAATTAAATTATAGTTTATTTTATTGTAAAATTTATAATTTTCATCTAAAATTTTCTTGTTCATAGAATTCCACGTAATGCACGACCAGCTGTTTATTGCACCGCAATAAAAAAAGGAAGTACAGATGATTGGGAATTCCTATGGACTCAATATCTACAGACGAATCTTCAAACAGAGAAAAAGATCATTATAAATGCACTCGGATGTTCGACAAATAAAACGGTGCTCCAAAAGTAAGTTCTCAAATATAAAGGATGCAACAATACCATAATTTACTTTTAAATATTATTATTTAAAAAAAAAAGAAAGTTTTGTTTATAAATATAATTTTAAAATGTTAGTTTAATTTTAATGTTCTTATAATGCTTGAAATAATTTATTTTTAAAATTAGCTTGAAAGCTTAAAAAATTATTTTTTAACTTTTGTTAGTAAACATATTTATGACAATAAAAGTAAATCTATGTCTTTTTATTTTTATATTGTAAAACTTTTTTTGTATTGTAAAACTGATAGAATTATAACAGTCATAATAATTTTCCTAATTAGTTTGATCCCTGAGCGATTATATAATTACTTAATTTACGAACAATTTATTTAACAGTTACTTAGGAAAAGCCATTGAAAAATATGATCCTGCAAATGCCGCCATTCGTCGACAAGATGTTTCAGCGGTGTTTACTTCCGTGTATAGCGCAAGTCCAATAGGAGTAAATGCTACCATTGACTTTTTAACAACAAATATCAAAAAACTGCACCGATAGTAAGTATCATTACAGCGCTATCAATTGCAATTGTAGGAATAAAATTGTTACGCTTGTATATTTTTGTTACAGTTTTGGAAAGTGGGACAATGTCGCAGATATATTTGCTAACGTGGCATCGTATGTATCGAGCGAGGATCAATATAATCAGGTATGATTCAGAATTTTTATTTAATGAATTAAAAGTGACAGGACGAAAAAGAGAAACTTAATTAAAGATTTTTTTACATTAATTAAATTGCTTATCAGTATGTTATAATATTCTATACAAAAATATTCTACACAGCGTTATATATGTATATATTACTTATTATTATTATTATTTAATTATATAAAAGTACGACAGTTGCAAATTAAATAATTTCGTTGAGTAATAAATTTAATAATAGTGATATATTCTTCTTTTTTTCTAGATGATATACTTTATTGAACATAATATACATCGGTATCCTCCAACCATCAGATCGAAATTAGTTTCTGCTCTTAATATTGTGGAAACTAACTTATTCTGGTTCCAAAATAACAGTGACAAAATTAGGGAATTAATTATCGGTTCGGAATCTGGTGGAAATAACCCTGGAAATAGTTCTACCAAGTTAGAATCACTGAACGTCCTTCTTATGACTGTCATTGCTTTAATATTCTACCCTTTAAATTATTACTAAATAATTAAATTGAACAGAAAACAAAGATTACTCTTTAGAATTTTTATCACACAATAAAAAAATGTATTTTCGAACTGTTTTTTTATTTAATGATTTGATTTATTTTAAATCTAGGAATAGTGAAGTTATATTTTATTTATATAATATTATAATGTATTAAATGCAAAAAAATTGTATTTTTAATCAAGTTTTGCAATTAAGTGAATAAATATAAAATGACATAAAATAATAACAATGATGTACTATTTATTAAAAGATTTAATATTACAAAGTACAACCCATACAGAAAAAAGATTTCTTTAAATCAAACAAATTTTTATGCTTTGGAATAGTCCAATCAAATGGATGTTTAAATTAAGAATATGATTATTTTCATTAAAACTACATTTTTTTGACTAAACAAAATATATTTTATTTAAAATTAAATTTGTTTCAATAAAACAAATGTAAATAGAATTCTCGAGTTTAAACACATCTTTTTCTCTGTGCAATTGACAACTTTAACTTGTGACAAAATTCAATTATAAAAATTGTTTATACAAATGAACAATACACTCTTAATACGCTTTTTATTTTCTCATGTCATTTGTATTAACATAGATAAATGTAACGTACAAAAGATGTCACAAAATTATTTTTTTTAGTTAAGAAATTTGATTAATTCAAATTATACATTATTTTAGTTTTTAAAATGGCTACATTCCACAACAGATATTGATTATATAAAATGATATTGACATATATAAAATACGTAACGTTATGAATTCTCAGTATAATTATATATCGCTCGCAGGTTCTTTCGTTGTACTTTATTTTTAATTAATATTGTATTTTTTAAATCAAAATTATATCAATTCAAAATAAATACAATCTTTCACACTGATACTCAAAATTGTTTTAATTGTAAGCATTATGATGATTTTACTCTTTTGGTCTGTTGACTTTCTTTATCTTTTTTCACACTTGATTGTAGCGTTTCATTAGCACGAATCAATCGTCATAAAACAAAAATTTATACTGCGACCTGGCAAATTGTTTATGTATTATTGTAGTCGTAAATGTACTTAACAATAATTATACAGAGAGATCCAGCGACAAATATTCTTTGTGTAGAGTCTACTTTTATATTTTATTCTAAGGATATATCTATCGGTTATATACAATATTTTTCTGTAACCAATTATAAATCTTCATATGATATTTATCAAACCATTTTATATTAGATTCCGCATTCTCTATTACTTGGTGCAGAGTTCTTGTCGCATTACTAAATTCATTCAAATGTTCTTTTACAAAGTTCATCAGCTAGAAAAATAACATAAAAAAATTAATATTGGAAATTATT